ATCAAAATAGGAGAGAGACACATGTTGTGCCTCTACTCCCACTTTAGTTTTCCTTTCCAGACCAGGCTAATAGTTACAGTAATAGCAGCGGTATTTATTTCCTTTTCAGACTTAGCCGATTGATGTGTTGATGTGCCTTGATTTATTTGGTGCAGCAACCAAGTGGACTAGGTGCATTGCTCTGCATGCCAATCCCTTATGCTGTGTGTGCATCACTCTTGTCTATTGCCTTGTATATCTGACAAATTGACTCTAATAATTTAGCGGTTCATATTTCATCTGGGTTAGGGGATTGTGAGAGGATCTAAATTCTATCTCTCTGAATGGACTTAAGACTGCCAGTTAAGAAAATTAACATGCATCGGTATTGTGAGAACAGAGAGTACAAGATCTTGATGGGAAGCAGATGTTGTTTTTTCTAATAGATATATGTGTGTATATATATATGCATGTATATATTTTTATGTATATATAAAGGATATAAAAGTGGGAGGTTAAAGTTTGTGTTTTCCAAAGACTCTGTTACAGTGGCTAATGACTTTGGAAAGTATATGGTATGTCAGACCTGGGAGAGAGAGACTGGTGCTCAGGGACAACCCGCTATAGAGGGGGCTGTGGGGGTCAAATGAAGGAAAGAGGGCTTCATACTAAGAGAGTGATGCTTACTGAGGGAAAGCTGGAGCATCTGGAGATGAAAGGCAGGGCCTAGCAAACCAGAGAGTCAGGAATAGAGATGAATTGCTTTCTACACAGTACCTGACCCAGATTGGGACTGTCTAGATTAGCTTTTGCAAAGCTGAACTAGATCTGTCATGCAAGCTGTTATTTTCACGATGTTTCTACTTTCTCTATTCTTAGCAAATGCCATTTTCCACAGCCCATGAGGCTTCATTGTGTAGTCTGGATATCCGTTGCTTCAGAAACTTGTTCCCTGACATCAGCAGGTAAAGGGACTGAGGCTCCAGGATGCCCAGGGCTGTGGCTGCAGGAGGCTTGTGTGCGGGTCTGCAGAGTCCATCCGAACGCCACCAGTGGAATTGGCTGTCTAGGCTGCGTCCTCTTGGTTGCCCTTCAGAAGAGTTATTGTTCAGTGAAGGTGAAGGAGATAATTGTTACTACTAGATTTTGGTATAGGTTATTTAAACACAGGAGGCCTAGAATAGTGAAAGATTGTTTCAGGGTAAGAAATACCAAGTAATAAATGAGAAAGCCTTTTAGATGGCTTGCAGGTGGATTTGGAGAGCAGAGAACTGACTGCTGTTGGCTTCAGCCTAAAACCTAGGGGAAAGACCTCATGTTTTTCCAAGCGTTTTGTCTTGGGTGGCTCCTGGCTATTTTGTACTAGTGTGTGAATTCCCTTTTGCTAAAGGATCTCGCTGATTTACCTTCAAAGGGTGTATCTCTTGGTTCATTATTTTGACCTAAATTGTGTCTTTTGTAGATGACTGGGTTTTTTTAAAATTTTATTTCTTCTCTAAAACCATTTGCTTGAAACTACATTTTTCCTCTGTTTTTTTGTCAAATGTTCTCTCTCCTGGGAGGCTGTTGGCTATTTATCAATATTTGATCTGTCTGTAAAGTGTGCTTCTGTGGGGGTGGCTGTTTATTATGAAATGGTGTCTCTCTGAAGTGGATCTTACCAGTTCTTGATCTCTTTCTCTGTTTGTCTGCCTCTTTCTAGGCTAGCCTAGTGGCTTTAAGAAGTACTCAATCTTTCTGTTTTAAGAAAACTAAATGCGATCATTATAATGGCAAATACTGAACAGCAAAAGGAGATACATCAGAATCCAATACGACTTCCAGTAGATGCTTAGCAAAGAGCTTGAAATTGTACCAGGTGTTTATAGGTATAAGAGAAAAATCCCTTGCATTTCCTTCAAATGTAAATATTGTAATTGGAGTTTTAAGCAAAATTAAAACAGTAAAATAAATAGCAGAAAATGCCATGTATACTGACTACCATTTAGGCTTTATTTTGTTGTATCAGCCAGGCTAAACATTATTGAATCCAATGTATTTTTAATCCAACTGCTTTGATTTCAGTGACACTGAACTAGTGATGAACCTGAACCATGAACATTGCAACATTCCATTAATTCTACTCTTTCTTCAGCCTATGGGAGCTAAATTACTGGTGCTGTTAGAGATGAAATAATTTTCATTAGGAGATGATAAAAGCAGCAAAAATAAGAAGGAAAAAATATTTGTGAGGGTTTCTCCTTGTTTTTGAATGGGGCTAGATGTTAGATAGAAAGGAAATCAGCTTTAATGCAGGCTGCATGTCCCACTAATCATGAGAGTGTTTCTCCCAAGAGTAAACTGAGACCTCTGAGCCAGTTTACGGATACCTCAGTAGAAATAGTCGCATTACTGTGTTCTTTGCCTGTAGGCAGTCACTGAGAGCTTTTTCTGACGTACTTTTCTTGCTGTAGATGATTTTGCAGTATATATGTAGAGGAAAACCTATGCAGTTTTAAAAATAATTTCTTTAGTTCATTTTACACATTGTACTTTCAATAGCACTAAGTATTTCTGGCAGCCTCTTCAGATATCCATTATTCAGTCTTCATTAGCTGATATTCCAGTCTACCAGGAAGTACAGCATTCAAAGGTCTTGAAGTTCAGTACATGCTAGCATTTTCTATTCTTATTTTTCTCAGTATCTACCTATAGATCAGTGGTGTTTTGAATGTCAGGTGTTCAGCAACTGAGTCATGATTTTTCTTCAAAATGGTGATCAAGAAAGTGCTCAATAATGTGAGATTTTTTGAAATGCAAAAAAAAATTTTTTAATTTGCTTTTTGGCTTGTCAGCTTTTGAATTCACTGAGAGCATGTTTTCATTTTCTTCACTGAAACTGTTAAAACTAAAAATATACTTTTTTTTTTTTTGTTCTTGTATTATAGTAGCTTCATTCAGGGATCTAGAAGTTTAAGCAACTTCCCTCCTATCAGGTGACTCATGAAAAAATCCTAAGCTTTCTTATGACGGAGTCCTGATCTTATACTGTACTGTAATGAGACAGATTTTTGCTGCTTCAGTAATATACGAGGGTCCTAAACTTTCCCCACTTGGAACAGCACTCCTCAAAGTGCAATCCTACTTTATTGTCAACGCTACCATGATGTTATTGGGGTTTTCCAGACCACTATGTCTTCGGGGAGAAAGATTACTCTGCTGCCATCCATGCCTGAGAATGGAGAGAACACAGATTGCTTTGCATGCTCCAATTCTGCCTGCTTGCTCTGAGGACTCCTCAGTTCTAGTGTGTTTTCTTAGAAAAATTGTTGATATTTACTCAATTTCAGTATGTAATTATTAATTAGCATACTTTAATAATATTATGGTTTTTTAGATATAAAGATGAAAGTCAAGGCCCTGTTGAAAATACCCTGATAGATCATTGCATTTGCATGAAAAAAATGTTTTAACTTCCATGTCAGCTAGGCTGGTTTTTCGTGCTATCCAAATGTTCACACAGCAACAAGAAGATATTCTTTGATAATTGGCAGATGTTTTTTTCTGCTTTCTTTTAATTGCAAGGTATTTGTTGCTATTATTTGTTGTGAAGTGTATCCCTGTCTGTATCCTATGGCTTCTGTATAAATGTGTGCTATTAATAACTATAAATAAATGTCAGCCAATAAAGACTTTGGGTTTTGAGAAAAGACGCAAGAATGGCAAAAAATGATGGCATACAAATGCTCACAGATAAGACGGATCTACAGCACTGCCATTTGTCCTCCTCTCCTCATCGGTTAAGCTGTTTATTATTGCCTCATTTCTATTATCTGCAGACTAGCTGTATTGAAAAATGCCTCAAAACAAAGGGAACAAAACCATTTCATAGCAGTAAGAGTTACATGCGCGTGCAGGTAAAGCAATACAAGCAAAGCTTACAAGAGTCTTCTCTTCCCTAGTAGCTTCCCTGCTTTTGCACCTGGTATATCCTGTTCTCTCTAACCTTTTCCTCCGCATTTGTTTTGGTATGAGTTATATGAGTACACAGATTATCCACCAACATTATTTTCGAGTGCCAGTACTATTAAAAGATCACCAGTTATGTAAGCTACAGACTACTAACATGAAGCTACAGTCATTTGTGATGTTCTTTTAGAAACATAAGAGGGTTTGTAAAAGTGCTTGTATTGAGGATGTCTTTGAGAATGTGTATGTAATGTGAAATATATATTGGTCATTGAAATTTCCCTTGTAGTTCTGATATGCCTTAAAATATCTACTTTAGGTTTGCCAGAACCAAACAGAGACAGTATATTCCAAGGATTGAGAATGGATCATGGATTCTACACATCTAAAGACTTCCTACCTTTGGTAGCAATGGCAAGTAAACCAGGTGTGTGATACTATGTTTTTGTTGTAATCATGTTCAGTGAGTCATTAGCAGTTACTGATATATCAAAAAGGACAGCTGGCTACACAGCAGCACAGCCAATTACGAAGCACCTCCCAGTGAATAGGTCTGGGGCAGGGTTTCCTCTTGGTGAGTTGCAACCTCAGGAGTGCAGTCAGGAAAGGCGGTCCGAGAGACTGTAAAGCAAACAGTCGTATGTAAAGACCTAAGCACATGGCAAATCATTATCCCTAATAAGCTACATTTGTTATTTTGAGTTATATGCAAAAGATGTCATAAGCTTCTCATTTGTATAAATTAGCTTGGTATAAATATTATATATATAAAATGGTCCTGAAAAAAATCTGATATTGGAGAAGGTGTTGCTGACCCATATAAGCAGCTACTTTGTATATTGTTGATAAATGATTTTACTTGATCCCAAGTCATGTCCTGCATGTTTTACAGACACATTTAAGGGAACGCTAATTCCTTAGCCCAAAGAACTTACAGTCTAAGACTCAGGACAACAGTAGCATGCCAGGAGTTGATAAGACAACACTCAGCTTATAGGCACCAAATGCAGTCTTGTTTTATGCTTTTACATCTTTGTTTTGAGTACAAAAAGCTGCATTTGCTCCCCAAGGAGTATAGTTGCTTTCAGTGGCCCTGAATGTTCAGTCATAAGCCCCAGATGGATGGATGAGTTGGGGCTCATAGTTTCTACACCACATTCCCTCATGGTCTAGATTCCCCAATGTGTTGATAAAAAAGAAAAATAAAAAAGAAATCCCATGTACAGTTTTCTGGGCATAGACTTAGTGCAGTAGGTGATCTTGTACATATGTCCACACATTTAACCACATATATGTCTTTTTAACCTACAAACAGATTTTATTCTAAGCATTCAGAAATTTCTTTTAGCATCATATAGGGTTACCTGCTTATTTAGTAGACCTTGCATAAACTTCTGCGGCAAATCATTCTGCATATAAAAGTAAAGTTTATTACCCCATTTTATGCAAAATATTTAGGAAGCGAAATTCTGTATCCCATCTGTCCCATCTCTCTGCTGTTTTGATCAAATGCTTATTTCTGTCTCTTTTCATAAGCTCAAAGCGAGCTCAAATGCGTTGGGAGAAAAGGGTGGTGCCTTTTTTTTTTTTTTTTAAGAAAGAGATATTTAAAAATTAAACAGATTGAGAATCTGCACTGCAAAACATTTGTAGATTAACAAAGGAAAAATAAATCCTGCAAAACAATCCCCTCTTGTAATAATTTGACTAAAAGCACTTTATAGAATTCTGTACGGACACATAGCACTCGTGTACTGTAAGTTGCCTGCCTGCATGAGGATCCATATACTGTGTTCCGCATCTTTTAAAATGTTGCAAAGTAGCACTCTTGATTTGCCAGGATATGTTACGATATTTTTTCATATTAAGTCTACAATGAAAAGAAGGATGAACTTTGAAGAACTAACCTTTTCTGACTGACAGTAATAGATAGCTCTTTGGTGTTGTCAGTTCATTAACATGGCCTCTTTCACTTGATTTTCCTAGTGTCTGTCTGTGGCTGTAGCCACCTCTTGCTCTCTAAAGCATGGAATTTTAAAATAAAATAATACGTGTCCTATATCCTGTTCTAGCCTCTTTTTTTACTATGACAGATCTCTAAGTAATAGACATAATAGACTTATTTACAGTAAAATACATATTCTTCCTGCTTATTAAGTTCTGAATGCCACTTGTTAATATACTTTCCTCCAAAAAGGGTTCCCCTTGCAAATACATAGATGTGGATTTACCTTGGGAGTGGCCTTGTTACCACAAGCAAAGTGGGCTGCTGTGACTGATCCGTTATAGACTAGTCCAGTAATGGCACTCTGAGCTGCTGTTGCCCTGCTGCACTTGTGCTTTTCCCACTGCTCAATGTACAGTTGTTGTGAAGGATTAAGCTCATTAAAAATAAATGAGAAAAGTTTAGAGAGAATTTTAGAATAAGAAGTCTATTAAGTAAATAGTAAACACAATTTCATACACATAGGGGAGGAAATGATAGATAGCATTTGCCATACATTAAGCATTTTACAAATGGAGAGAGAATATGTATTAGAATGTTGTTTCTCACTCAGTTTATATGTCTAAATTAAAAGCATTGTTTCCTTGAATGATACTTGTGTTTCTTTACAATTGCATGTGAAAATCTGCTGCTACTATAGCAAGATACTGAAGTTATACTGCAATGATTAAATGGCCAGCTTAGCACCTCCTGACTGAAATTATCATGGGTTTATTGAGAATGTGGCTTTATATTGTTTATGGCATTATTTTTTAAGTTGCAATAATTTGCCTAATCAACAGTTAGTTGTATATAAACTTCTGATAAAGTGCAGTCTCATACAAGGAACACACACGGTTCAGTTCTACTTAAGCGTTTCTCGTATAATCAAATCATCAAATACAAGCTGTAGATGATGAGCACACAATGTCATTCACTCCATGTAACTTTTTGCAAATCTTTTGTAGATTGCCACTGTAGATGAAAAACTCTCCCAGTGGAAGATCTAGGAATCACTGTAATCATAATATTCTTTCTGTCTCATGTTCAGCTGCTATAGAGAATAGCCTCTGAGAACCATGTCATAGCCAGAACAGCGTTCAGTGCCTAGTAGAAAACTGAGGGAACTAACTTTGAGAAACGATTACACGAAACTATCAACAACTATCAACAACGGTCATCTTTTGAAAAATACCAAGTATTATTCTTTATAATCTATTAAAAAGTTTTGGTTTTTTAACTGGGACGATAATGAATCTGATAAGAGAAACTTACTTTTTGAATAAAAAGATCTCTCAATGCTAATTTCAACCTCACAGGACCCACAATCCTACAAACGTGTTGTCATTTGAATTCTTTCCAGATAGGAAAGTGCAGCTGCTTAGAGTACTGACTACGAAATTATGTATATGAGCATATCTTAAAAACGGGAATAAAACTGTCTTTCAGTGAAGCAGAATAATTCGATAGTGACACTCCATGCCTGGAAACTGTAAGATGCAATTTTACACTGCTTTGGGTACAAGTACCTTTTGAGCTGTCATGCGGAAATGGTTTCTCTACTTGAAGATGGTGTTTTCCTTTCATCTTTCAGGGATGTGTGCCTGTCACTCTCCATTGCCATCAATACATGGAACTGTAATTGTACTTGGGGCAGGAGACACTGCTTTTGATTGTGCAACATCTGCTTTACGCTGTGGAGCTCGTCGCGTGTTTGTGGTCTTTAGGAAGGGATTCACTAATATCAGGGCCGTTCCAGAAGAGGTAAAATTGAATAACAGCATTTATGAGAAGGAATATTCTGCAGGGCCTGAAAGTGTGCTAGATGGTACTTAAAAGATACCTACTAAAGGCTTTGTTTATAAAAATGCTCTTAAAATGTATAAATGTTTATTAAAGATCTGAGGCACTTTTTACATAGTCTCTGTATGATATTTCATATTTTTACAGATAAATATAAATTTATATTTTTATATATAAATAATAATAATTTTCCTGTGTTGTACCTGTTTCCTGTAAAGTCAGAGAGATGCATTTGCATACAGGGGGTAGAATTTCTTGTAAATTAGAAAATACAGTAAAAGTTTTAGTCTTGGAAGCATCTCAGAGATCAAACAGCCATTTGAGTATCATAAGTGACTCTTCAGGTTATGGTTAGATCCTAGGATGATACCTTCTGGCTGCTGTCTAATGAATCTCAGTGATTCTGACATTGCCTTGGGAGCCTATAAAATCTTGTATGAAAATTACTTACAGTGATTTTGGTTTTGAATCACTGCCAATGGCAATAGAGCAATGTCATTCATCACAGGTTCCAGCATTCAATTTGATTTTTAGTTTGGCTTTGCACTTGTGCAGATGTCCTGATAAATGCCAATTTTGAAACTGACTCTGCTTCCTCAGTGCGTCTGTACTACAGGAGGGTTTTTTCAGGTTAGATTTTCTTGTTTTGGTAGTCTTTTTCCATTATAATTCATTTAGTACATACTTTACACTTTTGCATACTTGAGGATATCAGGCTATCTAACGCATCTTTATCATGAGATTTATGATAGCTTGGTTATCTGTTTCAAGAAGGTGGGCATCTTGAACATCTTACAGAAGGGGAATGGAGGTGTAAAAAAAGTAATAGAGGGTCCTTTGATGCATAATTTAATTCTATTTCTGTTGCAGTTAAGAATTCTAGACACAATGACATTACTGAAGCCATTGCACAGACAGACTTATATGCTACTTAGATTCTTACTAGTGAAAAATTGGTTGTCACTCTGAACCAAAATCTTTGTTAGCAGCCTGGGTAAATTCTTAAAAATTGTCAATGTTTGTACTCATCCAGTCATGCAGTGGTCTTGAAAAAAAGTGAAATAAAAGTAGCTTCAACTAGTAACAACCATGCTAGAATGTTGTTAGGTTGAATATTACATGTTCAAAAAAGTTTTGTTGTGTAAACATAGACAATCAAATCCTGAAGACTTTGTTAAGACAAAATGCTGTTTGACTTCAGCAGCTTTACCACAGCAGAGATTCAGAAGATCTTAAGTCTGGATTGTCACTCAGAAAACTGTTGTTTGAACACGGCAGTGAGCATTTAGTAACATCTTAAAATCATAGTAAACAAAAATCAGGGCATGTACTTAATTAATATTAGGCCTCTTCTTAAAAGACACAGTTAGATACATGAGGTAACTCTTTTGCCCTCAAACGAGTTATACGTATTCAAAGTAACAGGGAACTATAAGAAAATATATTAGAGAAATATTTGCATTGTAAATTTACCTAGTGCCACTGTCTAGAACGGCTTGATTTAATAGCACAGGAGGCTCTGAAGTTGGTATTAAGATGATTGTCTGTATACTGTACACAGGTGACTTCTACTACAGAAGAATGCGTGGTAGCATCTTGAGTCAAAAAGTGTTTTATGTTTGGTGTTGTTTTTTTTTTTCATGAAAACACAACAATGTTCAAGTTATATGTTTTATTGCTTCTACTCTACAGATGGAACTTGCAAAAGAAGAGAAGTGTGAATTTTTGCCTTTCCTTTCTCCTCGGAAAGTTGTACTTAAAGGTGGACAAATTGTTGCTATGGAGTTTGTTCGAACTGAGCAAGACAATGATGGGAAATGGAAAGAAGATGAGGATCAGGTTGTCCGTCTGAAAGCTGATGTGGTGATCAGTGCCTTTGGATCCATTTTAAGTGACACTAAAGGTAACCCTGACTAATCCATACTGTAAATGATGATTGTTATTTTAGCTGCAGCCATTTCCTGTCCTTTGACAGTTTTGTGAAATGAGTCTACTGGAGGTGTCCTTTACGTATACCTCTTAGAATAAAACTTGAGGGTCTGATAACAAAACAGTTTTCTGTATATCACTGTGTAGAGCAGGAACTCAGATTAGAGGTACAGTTGCTCAGTATATATTTTGCCTTCCTCTCAATGCAAATGGGATCTCAAAGAATACTCTTGAGGATTTCTTCTGGTCTCGCTAATTAACTTTGGAGAAACTCATTATACTACAACTTTGAACTGATCTGCTCTCTGAAACCTTTTTTTACCTATTAAATTAAGTAAGAATTAAAGACAGATTCATTATTCTGGTTCAGCTGCTCTGGCTATCACTCATTTCTTGTGCATACACAAGAGAACCGTGGCTGCTTTCATATGTACAGTATATGTTAAATTCACATGTGCTTGTCAGCTTGTCTCATTATCTAGTTGCACTTTACAAGCTCTGGTCTTAAAAATTAACAATTACATAGTTCCATAGTAAAGATACAGAAATTGGCACACAGATGGCATTTCAGAGATTGAAGGAGTTGTCTGGATGTAGCAGAAAGAGAGCTGAAGAACATGAGTACAACTGAAAACATGGGAACTGAGCAGAGCTGACTGTTCTCCTCTTGACACTAGGTTGGACTTAAAGAGTTTAGGCACAGACATCAAATGTGCCTTGACAGTTAAAAAAAACACTGACTCAGCAGAAGACAGACTGATAAAATTAATAGATTTTCAGCCTGGAGATGCTCATCAAGGTTAGCAGGTTCTGAAAGCCTTAGTGATCAACATGCCTACCTCTCCAGGGCATGGTCATGCCAGCCAATTACCCCATGACATGTTGTCATGGTCCTTTGGGTATGAATGCTTAGAGGACTTGGCAAGCACTTCAGAGGCTACATCACCAGGAAATTTGGTGATCAGATGCTGATTCTGCCACTGCAAAGGGGATTTCAAAATTTCTTAGCATAATGTGGTTTTGTGGATCTTTTCATTCAAGAAAAGTCGTAAATCTAAAGTAATCTAAGCAGAGTCTAGTAGCCTTTGTGGACATACCTCAGGCATGTATAAAATGTATGACTTCTCACATCTACATTTTCTGTGTTTTAAATGAAGTTAAAGAAATTAGTTTTCTGATAGATTTTCTAGATTATTGGTAAAATTATATAAAAAGTGTACTGACTTCACAGGAAGATGAAACATTAGCTAATGAAGATAAATTATAGGTTCCATTGAAGAATTTTAGAGTATGGCCTACAGCAAATTTGTCTGGAATCACAGAATCATAGAATAGTTTGGGTTGGAAGTGACCTTTAAAGGTCATCTAGTCCAACCCTCCTGCAATGAGCAGGGACATCTTCAACTAGGTCAGGTTGCTCAGAGCCCCATCCAACCTGACCTGGAATGTTTCCAGGGATGGGGCATCTACAACCTCTCTGGGCAACCTGGGCCACTGTTTCACCACCCTCATTGTGAAACGTTTTTTCCTTACATCTAGTCAAAATCTACCCTCTCTTAGTCTAACACCATTACCTCTCGTCCTGTTGCAACAGACCCTGCTAAAAAGTCTGTCCCCATCTTTCTTTGTAAGCCCCTTTTAATTACTGGAAGGCTGCAATAAGGTCTCTCTGGAGCCTTCTGTTTTCCAGGCTGAACAACCCCAATTCTCTCAGCCTGTCCTCACAGGAGAGGTGTTCCAGCCCTCTGATAATTTTTGAGCTCCTCAGTGCTTCCTGTTCACCAGTGCAATTGTATATAAAGTTAAACCATCATACAACCATGAGAAGAGTCTGAAGTCCTACAGTAACAAAGAAGGATCAACCTGCTTCCTTGAGGAATGCCTGAAGTTTATTCCAGGACCATTCCCATCTTTTGTGTTTTGCTATTGCTTTGGGATAGGTTCATGCAGCCTTGGGCTGATACCCTAGACAGCAACGGCACCAAGCCACGTGCAGTGCTTAGTACTTAGGGCTGCCTCCTGCCCTAAAGGGCGCGGGACGTGCAGCCTACCTCTCTCTGAGAGAACGGACTCCCATTCCACTCGGAGGTGTATTGCTGTATATAGAGTGTGGCATCTGTATTGGTCATGTTTTTAGAGCTCAGTCTAACCCCCTTCCTGCAGGAACCAGTAGGGTTTTTTTAATCTTTAAGAGATTCATGAACTACTCCGTTGCTGGAGTTGACTTGAATGAGAATTTTGGAAAGTTGTAGTGGTGGTGTTTTTAAAACCTTCTGTTTAGGTTTGCGTTTTTTGAAGGTTTTCTAGAACCTCATGTGGTAAATCAAATATTAGCCTATGCAATCAGTATGTTTTGTTGTGATTCATAGACCCTATGACAAAGGAGTGATTCTGGTTTCTCCCACATTAAAAACTGCTTCAGCTAAAAGGTTGAACTTACTGTGTTGCTTAGCCATAATACTGTGCCAGTCTTGTATCTCCTAGTATGCATTCACTGTCTAAATTAGTTGTTGTGAGGTTTTTAAATAGGAACATAAAATGGGACAGGAACAAAGTCATGCAGTGAGCTGTTCATGAAGGAAGAGAGTCATTTACCTTGAGGGTGAGCAATACACCTCAGTTTCACATTGTATTTTTGGTGAAACTGCTACTATTAGAATAGCAATCAAATTACAAGGAAAAATGCAAGGCATTTGTGTTGGATATTGTGAAAGTGAAAAGAAACTAAGACTTGAGGGAATAAAGTGTTTATTTTGAGCATACCACTTCAGTTGCTTTTAAATCTTTATTTTTTGACTAAGCTGTCTTAATGAAAGTCAAATTTGCTTTTCACCATTGAGCTGGATTAAAAACCACTCTCCAGGCTGCCTCAGCATACATAACAAAAAGAAATGAAAAAAAACCAACCACCAAAAGCATCTTATATTCTTAGTGTTGTTTTTTTTAAAAAGGAAGCACGCTCAAGAGATGGAGATATTCAGGTATTCTCCATCAGAAGATGGAGATGAAAATACTGGAGGTACTCAATGGTGATGGACAATGCCATGAGCAAACTGATCTGACTTGGAACTTGATCAAACTTTGAAGAAGGGGATGGACTAGGTGACCTCCAGAGGGCCCTTCTAGTCTGAATTATTCTATGACTTAACTATTAACTGTTAACTGTTGCTCTTACAAAGAGCTCTCTCAATTGACCTAGTTCGTAAGGCGCCTCAGGGAACTGCAAATGCGGTATTGGTATGGGCTAAGCTAGCAGGGTATGTCCTATTAGTTATTAATAACGTTAAATGCTGATGCTACTGATGTAAGAATGAAGAAAATACTATGAAATACAGAGGGATTAAAATCAGACTTTGGCCCAGTTCAGCAAAGTGTTCAGGGCATAAGCATGTGTGTGACTGCTGTCCTGAGCAGAAACAGCTCATAGGTTAGAAAGCTTTTTCTAGTCTATGATCCTCAACAAGATGTTTCTTATTCTTACATGGTAACTATTACCTTTGCAGCTGAGATTCCATGTGCTGACAGTAGGTATTTAGTCCTTTTTGTTTTGTTAAAATAAAATGCTGATTGTGTTTTTAAGAAACAGTTCTAGTAGGTATTCATCCTCCCATTTGGAATCATATAAATGCATCATTAATTTAAAAAAAAAAATGGACTTCTAAGTCCATTTTATGCTCAGGAAGTTGCTAATAGACAAAACAGGAGAGATGCCTTCTAGGCTATTTTAAGAACATTATCACTTTACTGAAACCAGTTAAAAAACCCTAACAAATTGTTCAAATCAAACTACTGCAGATGGAATAAGAAAAATTTGCTTCTTGTTGAAAAAAAGACCTGATTCTGCAAGCACAAGCTGCTTTTTTTTTATTGCATAGCTTGCCGGGCCTTCAAGCCGTCATAACTGACCCGTATAAACAAAGAGCTGTGAGAGAATTTTGTACCTTTCCTTGTGCTCCTGCTCTTTTGCTTGGTTTGTTCTTTTGGAGGCCATGATGTGTCGGTGAGTTAGTGAAATATCTTCTGTTCTGTACACTCCCTAGCACTGCATTCGGCCTCAACACCCTGCTTAACACCAGTCCAGTTGGTTTTAAAGTCTAAACTTCGAATAACCACTTTCTTAGTTATTTCATTCTGCTAAGCAAAAGGGGACAATACTTTTGGGCCGCAAAATTTTGCACTGGAACAAATGTCCCTGTTCTGATTTATTTTCCTGAATTCCTGAGGGGAACCATACAGAAACTATGGAAAATAGTACAGGCGTTCAAAACGCGCTACGCAATGCAGCGCAGGACAGGGGACTACGGCAGGGTGTGGGGAACTGGCAACAGAGGTTTAGCTCAACGCTGCGTTTAGCGGGCAGCGGTGAAGAGGAAGTGTTCCCGTTTTCCAGGACACTGAATCTGAGCAGGATGAGGTCTGTTTTGTTTTCCTGGAGAGACAAAAAAAGGGAATAAAAAAATACCTGAGCAAACTCCAAATGCTGCCTTTACACACAGTCGTCGTCGTCGTCTCCCTCCCCCCGAAATATTAGGTTATTCATGAGCAAAAATGTTTTATTAAATTCTTGGTAGTAGCTAGCTATTGCATGGTAACTGAAAGGCAAGGCTTTGTTTCACATTTCTGGGCATCGGTCGCAACTTTCAGATGTTCTGCTTTTACTTTCAGTACGACTGTCGTCTTGCATGGCAGCTGCGGCGGCGGCCCCCCGACGGCTTTACCAGAGCGTAACCGCTGCCCCGCAGTAGGTTCCACC